GTGGTGCTGATGCATGAAAGTTGTAGGAGAGGAAGGTTGTTTTTTAGCTCCATTAACAATTAGAACTGTTAAAAATGCGGCACGCCCTGCTAGTGAGGTGGGGAAGGCCCGTGCTGGGACTGGGAGACAGTCCGTCTGGAGCAGCACGGTGTGACGTGGGCGGTCCGCTGGCCCAGATGGCAGCATCCTTTCACTCCCACTTGGCTGTGCTCCTTGAGGACAGAGACCATCTCCTACTCATCTGTGCACCCATCCCCCAGCGTCCAGTAGAGTGTCTCACACAGAGTAAGAGCTCATCGAGTGAATATTTTTTGAATAACTTTGATGTGCAAAGTAATGAGGAAGTGGGGTACCAAAAAATGGTTCCTACCTGCCCCCAAAGAGATTACAGTTCAGTGTAAGGAGTATCCAGTTAGTAACACCAAAGGTACCTTGTGCTTGACGCGGGGGTTGGGGCATGTACAGTCGTGCGGGGGTCTGATGGGCACCGTGGACCTTTCCATAGTGGGCATAATTCTAGTAGATGGGTTTGCACGTCAGGCCAGCAGGAGCGGGGCAGGAAAGATGAGGGCTGGCAGGGGTGTGGCAGGGCCCTTGTGCCCTGGGTAATTGCCCACCTCCCCTGGCTCACATGGCTCTCTAGGCCAAGCACAGGCTGCGGGTGGGAGGATGAGGGCAAAAAGGAATTTGGGGCTGGAGCTGAGTGACTGAGAACACGGCACACATTTATAAGAGACGGAGCTCCACAACTCTTCTGCAGATACACCATGTGACCTTAGGCGAGTTGCTTAACTTCTCTGGGCCTCTGTTGCCTCACATAGCTCTTTGGGACTTGAGGCATACTGTTCCCTCTGCTTCTGTTGCTAATATGCTTGCTCCCCTCCACACTCCTTTACTTGTCCTTGTTCGCTCCCCTTCTTGCTTTAGGACTTGCTTCCCTGCTCCTTCCTCCTCCCCCGCAGTCTTCCTTGGCCTCCCCAGGCTCTGTTGGGTGCCCTTCTCAGTGGCCCCGTGGCATCCTGGGGCTCCCTGATGTATCCCTTCAGCAGTGGATCACCACACCTGTTTACTTGGCTCCTCCTTGAAGGCAGGGCACAAGACTGATTCATCATTACCTGCTCGGCACAGTGCCTAGTGTGAGAAGATGCTCAAAGGATGAAAAGGGGGCAATAACCACTCAGTGACCTGAAGGGGATGAGCATGAAGCCTGGGCCAGAACCTGACCTATTTCAGGTTTCTTTGGGATCTAGGATTTAGCATCCTGCCCCTGGGATCCTCACCAGCCACACACACCCTGTGGTCCTTGGACTGCAGGGAATCTTGGACAATCACCATCTCCCCAGCCCACCAAGCTGCCAGGCCTGCTCCACAGCCTGTCCACAATCCTGGGTGTTTTCTGTGGCTCCTCTCTCTGCCCTGTGTCTGATCCACCCCAACCCCCTGACGCTCCCTCTTAGCTACTTCCCAAGCCCTACTCTCTCCTGCCACCCACGCCGTCCCTGCCCCTGCCCAGTGTGGGGAAGCCTCCTACAGACGCTCTGCTGCGAGCTGTGCCTCCTCCAGCCCGGTCCCCACGCAGCAGCTGCGTCCTCCTTATGAAGAGGCCATCGGGTCATGCGGCCCCCTGTGTGGAAGGGTCTGGGGCTCTTGTGTGTGGGGGACAAGGACTCTTCAGGCAGTCGAGACAGGCCCCACAGTCCACGATTTTAGCCTAGTGCCGTCCGCTGTCTGCTGCCATTATGGTGAAGGGGTAAGTTCCACGGAAGCGGTGCGCTGGGCACTGTGGGATCATGAACAGGCAAGCAGCCCGACCAGGGTTCAAAGCAGGCTTCCTGGAGCAGCTCCACCTGAGGGAGCATCTGTCTCAGGGAGCAGCTGAGCCATGGTACTCCCCCTCCGGGTCCTGCTATGTTGAGCACTTTTTGTTTCAGACAGTGGGCAGGGAGGTAAGCACACAGAGAAGACGAGGGGGCCACAGTCCTGCCTGGTGCAGGCCACCCTGCGCTTCTCCCAAGCTCCTCTCCTGTCCCCAGACTCTGCTCCGGAGCCTCACATAAGGTTCCCCTTGTCAAGGTCCGCAGACTCCCGTGTCCTGCTTTAATGTGCTCAGCTGAGACCTCCTGGATCAGAGGAAATCCCTGCTCACATGTGACGCCCCCAACCCAGGCCTCAGCACCGTGGCCCCGTCTCCCAGCCGCCCTGTCAGGCTCAGCCACACGGGACCTGGAGGAGAGAGCTTGTTCTAATTACCATGGAAGCTTGTTAGCAAGACAGCGCCCCCAGGCCCCTCCACTGCCTCAGCAGGATTCACGGGGCTTCGGGAGGGGTGGACGGGCAGAGAGGGGGCCCAGAGACCCTGCCCTCGCTGGGGCATCCTCCGTCCCAAGAGCATGGCTCTCAGGTTTCTGACCGGCCCTGGGAAGAACCGGGGCAGGGTGGTGAGAGAGCCTGGCTGGGCGGATGGAGCTGACCTGGGGCACCGCTGAGCCCCCAGGCCTTGTGAGAATGGGGGGAGGATTGCACATGGAAGTGGGGGTGGGGGCAGCATCTGGAGCTGGGTTTCATGTCCCCCGGGACAGAGGAGAGAGTTCAGTTTCGTTCACATCCACGAATTCAGATTAAGCCCCACCTGTGGAAGTGGCTCCACACTGGGCACCAGCGATGCAGAAGCAGATACCACCACCCTGCCTGTGAGGCACACTCTGTGGTGCTGAGCGGCACTGAGGGTGGGCTGCCTAGGAGGGGAAGGAAGCGGCGGGGGCGCTGAGGCCAGGGGTGCGGAGGGCACGAGGCTGGGAGACACCTTGTTATACGCTGGGAACAAATAGTGAAGAGCCCACAGCTGAATTCAGACACCATCGTGAGCAGTGGCTCTGGGCCAGGCTCTGGGCTGAGGCTGGCGATGATGAAGACATATCCGGGGCCTCCAATAACTCCCGCTCTAAAGGAGTCTGGGGGAGGGGAAAATGAGTTAGATAAAAACCGCCAAGATTGATGGGAAAACTGGGCGTCAAAGAGAAGTATGAAAACCCTTTCCGGGGGGCCCAGGGCAGGGGGACCCATCTGGCTGGGGGACTGAGAGGCTCCGTGGAGGAGACACATCTGAGGCAGTCTTGAAGGGAGGAGAAATGTTTTATGCGGAGGAGAGGACTTGAGAGTGGAAGCTGAGGGTGGGGAGGACGTCACAGGCTGAGGTGACAGCTGAGCAAGACCTAGGAAGGTCTGGAACTGGTGGAAAGACGCCAATGCCAGGGTGGGGGCTGGAAATGCAAGTGGAACAGGCCAGAGGATGAAGTAAACTTCCCAGGGAGGCCGGAGGGGGTGAACCCATCGGCCCTGGGAGGGGAAGTTATGGTCAGGTTAGGAAGATTTGATTTCTTCAGTAAACATTCACTGAAGGTCTGTGTGCTGGGCATGCTTCAAGCACCAGGGATAAGCACTGAGCATGGCAGGCAGAGTCTGCCTTCATGGGGCTTACAGTCAAGTGGAGGACTTGATGGAACAGATTCAAGAAGTTAAAATCTCTTCTTTCCTTGGGTGAAGCACGGACCCTGGCTGGTAGACATCTCCTAGGTTATCTCAGCCAGCTTTCTGCCTCCAAGCAGGGTGACATCACGCCAGGCAGCGGACCCTTTACTATTCTGGAAACATTTCAGGCAGTGGGATTTCATACCTTCCCTCTGGGCCCAGCAGCATCTCATAACCTGAAGCACAGCTCTTGCACCTGGGGGTTCCCTAGACCTCTGAATAGGCCAGGGCGGAAGGAGATGTGGATTCCCGCCTGGGGGCATCTCAGGCGCCTGCGCCAGCTCTTAGCTTAGGGATGACCCTGTGTGAGTGGAGTGTTCGGCTGGGAACAGGACATCATTTCCAGGCCCACGGACACTTTCACACTTCCCAAGCATCCCCAAGGACTGATGGAACCCATGGTGCTACCATTTTGTCCATCCCCTTAGCACAGGCTTTGTCTGCTATTCAAATCCAGACATCCCTAGGGAGGGGCGAGGCTAAGTGTCATCGGTCACTTTCACCTGGGGTGGGGATGTCTCTCTAGTCCTTTCCTGAGCGGTTTCTGATAAGGGAGAAAAAGTGAGCTTAGTAACCCAAGGAGGAGAACGGACCACAGATGGGGTAGGGGGGTGCAGGGGATGAAGAGAGGGGATGGAGGGCCTTGGAGCCAGACTGGCTGGGGCCAGAAGTCTTCCTGGGTTCAGATCCGCCCAGAGGAGGCAGCACGCCCTCCTCCCACCAGCCAGCCCCACCAAGCCCTGCCCCAGTTGTAACAGCGCCCATTGTTGAGAACAGAGGTGACTGGCATTGCACGGTAGCCTGGGGGGACTCCCAATACTGACACATCCACCCATCATCCATCTGTCTTTATTAAACTCACCTGTGTTGAGTTGTACCATGTTCCAGCCCTTGGCCTGGGGGCTAGGGACGCAGAGATGATCACATCCCAACCCCAACCCTTGTGATGCTCCCAGGAACAGGAAACTACCCCAAGGCAGTGACGTGAATGCTGGCAAAGAAATGAGGTGAACAGGAGTAGCAGCGATTTTTTTTTAGCCTTTCTATTTAATTTTCAATTTTCTATTCTTTTACAATATACACAAAAGTACAAAGAACAGTGTAATAAAAGCCCATTTAACCATCACGCAGGTCCAACAAGTTTTACTGATATTGTTTCATCTAACCCTTCCGCAGCGATATCTGAATACCGCCCACGACTCCGCTGTCCCCTGCCCCCGGCATCACCAACCCCAGAATCCAACCCTACGTCCCACACCGCTAGGATTCTTGGCAACGACCTGGCATCTCAGGCCTTGGCAAGCTAGGGTTTGCAAACGTGAGCCCCTCAGGGCCCTCCGGCTGTGCATTCCCGGGCCCCGCCGAAGCTTAGCCAGGTCACCCCTGGTCGCCAGCCACCGCCACCGTCTTTCGCGAACACCGCCGCACCCCTTCCCTAACTGCACTCCTGCTCCTCTCTGTCCTCGCTGCAGATTGAAATGCTAGAACACAAGTACGGGGGCCACCTGGTGTCCCGGCGCGCCGCTTGCACCATCCAAACCGCCTTCCGCCAGTACCAGCTCAGCAAGAACTTCGAGAAGATCCGCAACTCGCTCCTGGAGAGCCGCCTGCCACGGCGCATCTCCCTGCGCAAGGTGCGCGCGCCCACCGCCGAGAGCCTGGCGGCCGAGCGGGCGCTCCTGGAGGGCTGCGGC